AATATAACTATTTCAACTTGGTAGGAATATTGTTTCTGAGTCACGGTAATATAATGATCTGAACATTTAAATCCTCTCGGTCACCTAGTAGATGCTCTCTTTATTTCACAGCTGCATACTAAGAAATGAAGGTGAATTCCTAGTGTTAATATCCTCCTTAAAAGTAGCAGTCACAAGATTCTGTTGTATTGTCTGGCATATATATAAATAATAATATATATAATATAATATAATTATATATATATACATATATATATACACAATTTAAAGGTACTCATAGTCTACGATAAAGGCCACAAATGTCATCTGACAACTGATACAGAATCCACTCTATCATCCTTTTTTGATGCATACATTTATTATTCATGTTGTATATCATTTTAGGTTAGTTTATTCATGACATAAATATATATTGAGTATATAATATGTATTGTATTGAGCACTATTTTAGATGATGGCAGAAAATGTGTGAAAGCCCAAGTTTATTTGGTAAACTAAGAGTAGTAAGGGAACATGACAGGAACTCTCATGATATTCTTGTGAACAAAATGAAGAAATAAGTTGAAATCAGGCAACTCAGTATATCAGTAAGTGGATGGATTACCTATTCAATATATGCTAGTTAAGGGATTGTTATTATCTTGAAGACAGGTCTTATATAAGCTTGGTCCTCAGATTAATTTTTTAAAAACTATTTCATCGATTATTTGGATAAAGGTACAGAAAGTGTGTTCATCATATCTACTTGTGGAAGGATGAAAGAAACACGAAATCAGCATTCATAATGATTTTTACTGTCTGGATAAAGATAAATATCCATTTGTGTTTGGGGGAAAATATACTTGTGAAAGCAACACAATTGGAGCAATGTGGCAGTCAAAAGCAAAAGCTAATGTGATCTTCAGTTTTATTAGCAGAAATATAGTATATGAATCAAGAATGCTGAAATACTGCTCTGTTCCACATGCATTAGACCACACCTATTTTAATGATCTCAGTTGTGTACATCATACTTTACAAAAGGCACCCACCTCAGGCAAAGCAATAACACTCGGGAAATCAGGGTATTGAAAGATTGGTTCTAATTCATAAGGAAAAGGTGAAGGAAATAAGAACAGTTATTATTAAGAAGTGTAAAATTATTTGGGGAATATGTGGACAGGTGATGGGACTGGAGAACACACTATGATATCGTCAAATATTTGAATCAAAGCTGGTGGCCAGGATATTATTTCAAATGGCCTCTTGGAGTAGACCTGGGACCAAGGGGTGACAACTTCAGAGCAGTTTTCAGAAAACAGGATGTGTTCCTCTTAGCTTTTGTTTCCTTACTAAGTCTTTTTAATTCTTTGGCAGGTGTGTTGTATGTTGTCAACAAATTTAATTTTGAACTAGATGACCTTAAAAAAATTCCCTTGAATACTGAAAATCTACCATTTTGTAATCTAAGGATTTAAGAACCACATTCAAGGACTAAGTTGTTTTCGACCTCTTTTTGGGTGCATAAATGCATAGGGTTCTCTCAGGCACCCTTCATTGTGCATCTGACCTAGTGGTCCATCTCCAGAGCCAGCCTGGAGTCTTCACAGTCAGAGGAAGGGAGAAATTCAGGGCCTTCCATGCAGCAAGTGTGTCCTTGAGGTCCTGTGAATTGGGACAGAGGAGGACGTAAGTATTTCCAAGGCATTTCATGCTTTGGCAGAAGATAAACCAAAGTTTGCTAAAGCAGTAAATGTAAAGCTATCTTTCATTTTGACAGTTTCTGTGGATCCAAGACTTTCTACTGAGTCACCAAGTCTGCTACAATATAACTATTTCAACTTGGTAGGAATATTGTTTCTGAGTCACGGTAATATAATGATCTGAACATTTAAATCCTCTCGGTCACCTAGTAGATGCTCTCTTTATTTCACAGCTGCATACTTCAATATATCAAAGATAATATTGCTCATTGAATTCTATACTGTATGAGAATACTACAGGTTGCAGAAGTCATTTTAATCCATAATAGAAATATCCAAACATCAGGTCCCTATTTCACAATGATTCTTTTTTTCCCTCAGAAAATATGCAAAAAGTAAACAGTCCATGACTCATTTATTAAAGCTTCCATATTTTCACTGCAAATTCCTGGTCAGCCTTTGGAAGTGATGCTTTCCTTCTACTATTTCCATATTCTTTGAGTTACTAAGGTTTCTAGATGTTGGCAGGAGAGTCTTTTCCTTTGTCCTCATGTATGATGCGTGGATAGAAAGAAATGTAAGTCCAGGCTGGGTGTGGTGGCTCATGCCTGTAATTTCAGCATTTTTGGAAGATGAGGTGGGAGGATTGCTTGAGCACAGGACCTCTAGACCAGCCTGGGCAACACGGCAAGACCTCAAATCTATGAAAATAAAAAAATAAAAAAATATAGCCAGGTGTGATGGCTTGTGTCTGTAGTTCCAGCAATGTGGGAGGCTGAGACGAAAGGATCACTTGAGCTCAAGGAGGTCGAGGCTGCAGTAAGTCATGAACATGCCATTACACTCCAGCCTGAGTGACAGAATGAGACCCTGACTCAAAAAAAGAAAAGAAAAGAAATGTAGCACTAGAACTTGTCCTAGGAGTGAATGGAATTAGCATTCTTATATCCAAGCACCCTTGAGCTTAACCTTGGGCCCTGTGCTTTGCAAAGATTCTCAAGCTTATTATGTACAAATAGATTTCTTGGGATATTACTCAAATATGCTTTGTGATTTGTGAGATCTGGAACTGCGTCCTGAGAACTTAAATTTCTTTCTTTTAAAAAAAGTATTTTTAGACAGGATCTGGCTCTGTTGCCCGGACTGGAGTACAGTGGTGCAATTATGTATTACTGCAGTCTCAAATTCCTGGGCTCAAGTACTCCTAGTGCCTAAGCCTCCCCAGTAGCTGCGACCTCAGGTGTGCATCACCATGCCTGGCTAATTTTGCTCTTTTTTTTTTTTTTGTAGAGATGATGTCTTGCTATGTTGCCCAGGGTGATCTCGGATTTTGGCTTTGTGATCCTCCTGCTTTAGTCTCCTGAGTAGCTGGGATCACAGGCGCTAGCCATTGGCTTGTTGCATTTCTAACAAGTTCCAAGATGATGCTGACTTTGCTGGTCCATGGACCACACATTGAAAACCACCAGTCTGGCAACTCCCATTGTGTCTCTCCTTCAGACAGACCCCCTCCCCACAGGATGAGTCGTTCATGTGACCCAGGGAACCTGTCAAGCCAGAGCCTCTGTCCTTCCTTATAAGCCACATTCTGTGTATCCAAGACTCCAGAATTCCCTGCCCAGACATCCTCCAATACCACTCCCAGGACTCTACTCACCGGTCTTAAGTTGTCCTCTTAACGCAAGACTCCTCCACCAATGTGTACATACCTTATCCAGGGGGTTGCCAAGGGTCAGCTATTTGGAGGAGGCATTGTTTTGTGGGCAGTGGTGGACATAGAGATGTGCCCCATGCAAAGCTCCTCCTATACATGGTGGAGACTAGGGTAGAAATAGAAAAGGGGTGGGCTGTGATGGGAGGACCTTTATTTGTCTTCTTGCTTCAGCAGACAAATGTTGGGGTGTTCTTGCCCTTAGATCTACTCATGCAAATGACAGGGAGAAATCTCATCCTGCTACAGTTCATCCCTGACTTTAAGAGTATGGAACACAAATAGTTCTTGGATGGTTCTCTTCCATAAGGAATCACTGCATCTAAAGCGTTTTTTTTTTTTTTTTTTTTTTTTTTTTTTGAGTTGGAGTCTCATTCTGTCACCCAGACTGGAGTGCAGTGGCTGCTCCCAGCCACCGCAGCCTCAACCTGCTGGGCTCCGGCGATCCTTCCGCCTCAGCCTTCTGAATAGCTGGAACTACAGGCACGCACTACCATGCCTGGCTCATTTTGATTTATTGTAGAGATGCGGTCTCGCTGCCCAGGCGGGTCTCGAACCCGCGGGCTCAGGCAATCCACTCAACTCAGCCTCCCAAAGGCGTGGGATTATAGGCTGAGCCACCGAGCCCAGCTTAAAGTGCTTTTCTTAGGGTGAAGGAAGAATGCTGCTTTTTCACCCCTACATATAACCCCCTACACACTTTTTGTCAGATAACTGCAAATGCAAGGAGCCGGTGGATTTCAGCTAAAACACCACTCTAACTTCCTGTGTGAATTTGAGCAAATCCATTGACTTCTTTTCTCTCAGTTTCTTTATCTTAAAAATGGGAATAGGAATGACTCCCTGGTCTAACTCACCTCCTTCTTTGCCACCCAATTTAACTATATTCTTTTTTCAGCCTGTAACCCAAACACCACCATCTTGGATTTGACCAAGTGCCTGCATCGAATCTGGAAGTAGCTTTTCACCTCACTCGCCACCATTTGTCCTTCTGTATTTGTGTTTTTGTTTTGATTAATGTCTCACTAGCCTCCTGGACTCTGGAAGATCAGGGACTATGTATTCTCAGTTTTCTGTTGTGTCCCTTCTATCTGACTCAGAGCCTGGCTTCTCATAGTTGCTAAATCCACGTGTGCTAAGTGACAAAGTGAATGTGCTGTTATTGTCACAACTAGAGAAAATAGACTAAATGACTGGGCACATAGTAGGTGCTTGGTGAGTGACATTGGTTACTTTTCAGTGCAGTTTACCCTAGAAATAAACATTTTGTGTCTTCACACTTGATACACGGCAGAGGATGGGGTGAATTTGGGACAACTGCGATTTGTACTGTCCAAGTCAAGGGGAAAAAAATGTAGTGTGATAAGCTACTGGCATGAACAACTGGAAGCATGACACACTTTTTTAAAGACTTAAGAAATAAAATACCCACAGTCTAAAAGCAAGAATAATAAATACAAGAAAAAGTTGTATTTTTCAGATTTGCTTGCACCCACACCCCATCCCCCAAAGAGTGCATCTTCTTAAAAAGCTTGTGGTGAAAGTAATTCCCTGCCCAAGTGTTCACACCGACTGTCACTGGCCTCACCCTTCCTTTTCACAACTTGGGGATTATTTTAATGGTCCCTTTAATATCAGCCAGTCCAAATAGTCTCTTGTCAAATATTTCTGGGGCCTGTACTTGAAGAAAGAAATGATTTTCTCAAATCTGTGAACAGGACACTTTTTTTTTTTAATGTCAAAATAAACCATCTGCTTATACAACTGTTTCTAATTACTTCCCTGCCTAGACTCTCCACCGAGGGGTTTGGCACCAGCACCCCGCCCATAGCAGCGCCGCTGCCCAAATCCTCCCAGGCAGCTCATCAAGGCAATTGCAACTCCGGCTGGAGCCCCGGACCTGCAAGCCTGGGTGTCCGTGGGTCCGTCTGCCTGGCCATCTGCTGGTGGGACCTCTCCCTCCTGCCGCCTCCCCCAGGGAGCCCCACCTTGCAGAAGTGCGGCTTGCCTGCCGGGAGCAGCCTAGGAGCTCAGCATGTGTCCGTCAGGCTTCAGGAACTTCTTGCTGCTGGCGTACTCCCTTCTCTTTGCTGGGCTGTCAGCTGTTCCTCAAAGCTTCTCGCCATCTCTGAGGTAAGTTTGGTTTGTTATTCTTTAAGACGGACCTGCCCTGCTTATGTGGCAGGGCTCTAACGTGCAGGATGGCTGCTCTAAGCCAAGAGGAGTTAGTAAGCTGGACATCGGATAAGCTGTTTTCAACCTGTTCCTTTTCCTTTCCTTATATCTACCCTGTGTGTTGCCTCATCTCTGTCTTTTGGAAAGACACGTTCCTTGAATAAAAATAATTTCCTCCTATGCAAATACAGAGCAGGAAGAACTTCTGCCATAAATTAAAGGTAGACTTATGGATACCTATGTGTTCTCACAGGCTAGCAAGGAGGATTTCTGTTTCCCAACAATACCAATATGAGATCTGTATTCCATTCTGAAAAAGACTTTAGCAATAGCTAAACTCAACTTTTTACAAGTAGAGTTCCTAAAGACTGTTTCATGCAAATTTTAAAAACATTATGGCCCGTGCTGTCATATGGATAACTCTTTCCATATATTCATCTCATCTTTGTCATCAAATAACTGCCTGCCCCCAGTCATCAGATGGCCATGGGGCGTTTTTAAAAGAGAACTGAGAAGTCAGCCTATGTCATACTTCGGATGACTTTGTATTTAATCTAAATGTGCATGTAAGATTCCGTGACATATCACCAAGGGACAGGGCTGGACCACCTTTGTCCAAGTGGAAGAAGGTCCTATGCTCAGAGGGGCAGGTATCCCCTCGGACATTCTGGGTCGTGGACATTTCTCAGCTGGGTGGTACCTATTTGGTTGGGACAAGACAGCTCTTCCAAAGCGCTCTTGGTGCAGGAGAAATATGGGCCTCAGGCTTCCTGTCTGTGGGGTTGTCTGTGTCCCTCTGGAGTGGATGTGTGTTTGGGGAGGTGTGGGCTCTGAGCAGAAGGGCCAGTGTCTGTGTCTGGTGTTTGTCCCCCCACGCAGGAGCTGGTCAGGCGCGGCCTGCAGGCTGTCCAGGGCGGAGTCGGAGCGCCGGTGCCGGGCACCTGGGCAGCCCCCGGGGAGTCCTCTGTGCCACGGCCGGGGCAGGTGCGACTGCGGGGTCTGCATCTGCCACGTGACCGAGCCAGGCACTTACTTCGGGCCCCTGTGCGAGTGCCACGAGTGGGTGTGTGAGACCTACGATGGGAGCACCTGTGCAGGTAAGCGGTGGCGCTCTTTCCTTGTGAGATCTGCACTCCCCTCTGGGACTTCTGCCACTTCATAGGGGAGTGAAGGGTGGGGACACATTCCCTCCAGGTAAACACCAAGTCAGTGATTGCCATCTGCCAAGGGCTTACTTTTGCTGGTTAATTCCGGCATCATGTATGACAATGCTTTTCTCCCCGCTAGAGTCCACATTTAAATGGAAATAATATCTGTAAGATTCATCACTTAATTTTAAATCTCACTTGTCTCTAAGTTTCTTTTTACAGACTAAATTCCCCAACGTCCTCACAAATGGAGTTAGTTTGCTGGGCTCTCCTACTGTCATCAAGAATGTTAATAATAATATTTGTAGATCATAAGTCTGTATTTTATTTTACCTAGGAAACACAGAGGGGATATTATTTTTCTCAATTCCAGGGGGCTATGCTGTTTCTTTGAACTCTTGTTGTACTTAGGATATAGTTCACAGGCAGGGGTGCGTATCAGAAAACTGGAACAAGGAAAAAAATAAACAGGCACGTATTTACTTAGAAAGTGATTGTTCTTGTATTGTTTTAGCTGCTTGAATTTTTGAGCTGCAGTGAAACTTGGTATTTGTAAGGGTGGAGTGAAAATACATTCATTTTTCCCTCTCCCATTTTAAAGGAATGATTCCGTTTCTGGTATTGAAAAGGGTCAAGGAATTCCTTCATAGGGAACACCCTTTAACCTCTTTACCTATTTCCCACAAACGTGTCAATTATTTAAGGCCAAGAGCCTCAATTATTTCACTGTGAATGACACAGAAACTCTGTTAGTAAAAGCATAACACAATGCATTCCAGTCAGAATCTGTCAAATTTGTAGGCAAAAAAAAAAAAAGCAGTTTATTTTATCTTCAGCGTAGCTAAGACTAATAATACATCCAACACTAACACAGAGAGATCAAAAATGAGTTTATAGCAAAATGTTTTTTTCTTGGCAACCAAGTCCAGGAGTGCATAATGAGAATACTTAACATACAGGCTGTTTATCAGTGGAAAAAATAATCATAGAAGTAATTTGGAGGGACACAGGTGCTTCTAGGTGGTTTGTTTACCCTGTGAAGGCTGCAGTTCAACCTTTTAAAAATATTGAATGACACAACTTGTTATTTAACTTCTTCAGCTTCACAAGCTACAGTATTATTAAAAGTGGCCCTTTGGAATGAAAGCTAAGTTATCACCCAGTATTTTATTACAAATTCAGCTGTTACCTGGTTTCTCAGGTTTTTATTGCCTCTGGCAAGACCTGCTCAACACCATGGGTTTTGAAAAAATTTCTAGGGCTTTTTCTATTGTTGTTTCATTAGAAAAATAAGAGATGAGATGCAGTCGTTAGCTAGTGAAACTGGTGATGAGTGCCATCAGATCAACTTTATTGCTAAAGAACTTCAGCTGGTGCCTTTCTGTAAAATTATTCAGAAGAAATGCTAGTGCTCTTTTTTTCCCCTCATAGAAAGTGATTTCTTATTTACTTGTAAGTGTCTTAGTCACTGCATTCCTTCCTTCCGGATACAAAATGCAGTACTGAGTGAGGCATGGTTTTACTTGGTTATGTGTACCATTTCAACAGAAGGCAAAATGTTTCTCTTTATTGAAAGACTGAGTGAAATGAAATAACTGAGTTCATTTCTCATTCTCACCTTACCGACTGATGTCCATCCAGGCCTACTCTACAGGGTCTCGAGCACAATCTGTCCCTGTGAATGTTCTGACTGTGCTTGTGGGACCCTTGAGGAGATCAGCATATTGGGCTGCCTTGCCAGCTCGCTGACTTATTCTGTGCTTCAAATTTAACTTCTCCATTTTACTTTCAAGAAATGGTCTCAATTTTAAAACTAGTGGGTTTTATATGCATCTGAGCCATTACCTCTATGATATACTCCTGTAAGAGCCTTCCAGAAATAGGATAACTTCTAGTGACCTCTCCAACTTCCAAGAAGAAAACAAAATCCACTCTGGTAGTAATATGGTATAAAATGATAAATAGTATGGATTTTGGGGGAGAAATCTCCAGGATTCAAATTCCAGTCCTCTCACTACTTAAGAGTTGCATACCTTTGGGAGGCTGAGGTGAGTGGATTGTCTGAGCCCACGGGTTTGCGACCCGCCTGGGCAGCGAGACCTCATCTCTACAATAAAAATAAAAAAAATCAGCCAGGCGTGGCAGCGCATGCCTGTAATTCCGGCTACTTGGAAGGCTGAGGCAGAAGGATCGCCGGAGCCCAGCAGGTCGAGGTTGTGGTGGCTGGGAGCGGCCACTGCACTCCAGTCTGGGCGACAGAGTGAGACTCCAACTCCAACTCCAAAAAAAAAAAAAAGAGTTGCATAAACTTGGGCAGTTACTTAAGTTCCTGAGCATTGATTTCTTCATCTGTAAAATGGGAATAATAACAGCACTTGGGCTGTAGAATTGTTGTGAGGTTTAGCATATGAAAACACGTAGAACAGTGTCTGACACAAAGTGCTCACTACATATTAGTATATGTGTATGTATATGACATAGTGTCTTTACGGTGATGCATACACGGTGGGCTAGGATGGCTGGCTAGATAAATGGAGACATGATAGATGGACAGAGAGGTAAGCTGGACTTGTATTTGTTGGGCATTTGTTGTAGCGAGAGCTATTTACTCTTCATGTAGTCTCAGTCTTTTATTGATTCAAAGCTCAAAAGGTCAAGTAAGGATAACTATTTTGGCCTAGCCAGAGAGCAGCTGTATTAGATACACTATGCCCTTTTAAAATTAAATCCATTGGGATTGTTATACTGTGAATCATAGAGATGTACTTATGCTAGTTTGAGCTAGTTGAAAGTGATTAGGCTCACACCATAAAAAGTGTGGCTTTCTTCCAATACCCACTTGTTCATGGCATATGAATCTTCCTCAGATTTTCATAGCATAGAGTCCTAGACCAATGATTGTTCCTGTGGCTGTGATGGCCTATTAAGGGGTAAACTAATTTTGGTCAAATGAGTTGTTAAGAACAGCAAAATGTTTTATTGCATGAAAACAAACTTTTAGTTGACTTATCCAAGGCATTCCTGGGTAACACCATGAACAGCTATGATTACGTTTAAGTAAAATGTTGGTTTCCTAGAAGTCTTTTAAAATTGCTTTTGAATTATGATGCTTAAAAGAGTTTCTGTTTTAGTTATTGGAAAGAGCTAATTGGATTCAATATAGTAACACTTGTGAGACAGTGTGTGTTTGCCAGGCTCTCTGCTGTTGAAGAGGTTATAGAGATGAGGAATGCATGAGAGCTCACCATTGAGGAGGATGACTGAGAGAAAGGTCAATATCGGCTATGCAATGCAGAATGTAATTTCTGTAAATCTCTGTGAAGGTTCCATTGAGTCAGAAATTAAAGACTATAGTTAAAAGTTCTTGGAGAATAGGTAGCATTTGGCATAAGTATTTAAGTGTAAGGAAGTTTTTAATCCAAAAGGCGGACTGTTGGAATTTTGAATGAAGAAAAACCCAGGCATAGGTTTAGGGGCGGTATCACATGTGGGTGTGTTTGGGGAATAGTGGATGCTACAAGGGCTGGCTTGGCTAGATCTAAGGGCTGTGAGGAAAGTAGAACAAATACGTTGAGAATTACAGTTGAGTATGTTGGAGAGAGCTTTGCACCTGAATGAAATGTTTGTGCTCGATTAGACAGCATATATGAGCTGTTATGTATTTCAAATATGAGAGTGATGTGATTCATGAAAAGAAATACAGCTGTCCTTTGATATCTGCAAGGGATTGATTACAGAGAACCTCCTTCACTAGATGTTAAGGGTGCTCAAGTCCCTGATATAAAATCGTGTAGTATTTGCATATAGCTTACGCACAACCTCCCGAATACCTTCAATCTTCTCTAGATTAGTTATAATACCTAGTGTAATAAATGCAAACTCTCTCTATATATAGTTGTTATGCTGTATTTTTACTTGCATTATTTTGTATGCAGAGGGTGCCAAAAGTGTTTACACATTTTAAGACAGCAAAAAACCTGTTAAAATTGTGATACTCTGGCAAAAACATGGAGCCAACTGTGCCACCCATTAAAACTGGACTGGATTAAAAAAATGTGGTACATCATATGCAGTACACAGCCATAAAGAATAACAAAATTATGAACTTTGCATCAACTTGTATAGATTTAAAGCCTCTAATACTCAGTGATTGATCACAGAACCAAATAACTGAGTACTACATGTTCCCACTCATAAGCAGACCCTGAACATTTACCATAATACTATAAGGATTGGCAGCAGCTGGGAACTGCCATGGGGCAAGGGCGTACCTAACATCAATAAGAGCACATGATCTCGAACCACAAGAAGTGAGGACCAAAGGGAGGCCCAAACTTTACCTGTACAATGACCACTTGTATACCTAATCCTGAATTGTAACCCACATCTTTAAAATAAAAGACAATTATAGTACTCAATATATACTAATAGCAAAAGATGAATACAAGTCACGTTGAACTTCTGCAAGTATAAGAGGTGCTCAAAGTGGTTACCATCAGTGTAAAAGTTATATAACAAATATAACATCTCTTAAAATGTGTGTGTGTGTGTGTGTGTGTGTGTGTGTATGTGTGTGTGTGTGTGTATCACCCCCAGTAAGTTTTATTGTTATTTTAATCAGTGGATTTGGAACCTGCAGATTTGGAGGGCTGTTTGGTGCCCAAGGACATGTCATATTGAAGTAGAAACTCAGTTTAGATGTTGTTTAAATTATAGTCTACATATGGGAGAAGCAATGAGGACAGAATTGTGATGAATTTTAAAGTAGAATCAATATGATTTAGTACTCAAAGATGAGTAAGATGATGGATTGAAGGTGATGCTGAATTTATAAGTCTGAGAGACAGGGAATGTGATAGAAGTGATGGAATAAAGAAGAAAGACCCAGATAATCAAGTTAGTGGCTTAAAGTTCTTATTAAGGAGAAGCACTTACTTGTACCTGAAATT